TTTTTCAGAAGGTATTGCGAATCTTCTTCGAGCTCATATTCACTCGTATCACTCGATGTTCAACGATGGAGATGATCACGAAGAATGAAAAAGTGTTCGACTGTTTCTGCCGAGCATTCGCTGAGGATGCACGTGATCCCAGCGTGGAAATCGATTCGAAATGAGAATTCTGTGAGAGAAGTTGACACTCTGGGCTGAGTGGGTTCTTGGCTCACTCCACAATCGAGTGAAAACAGAGCGAATCAGTTCGACAACAGTCTATTCTCATATATCCCTGATGTTCGATTGTTTTCGGCTCGCGAATCCAACGGAGCTAATTCGAGCTCCCAATATTGTTTCCAATCGACGGCCCTAGCCCTCGGGTGTCGGAAATCGCCCTTCTGGTGCTTTCGATCGCGGTAGATCTCTCGCGTTTTTCATTTTCAGACAATATACCATTCTAGGTCCTTGACTTTTGCTCGGATCGAATTTCTGAGTCGAAATTCGGATTCCTGAGGAAATTTTAGGCCACCTAGGTACTCTTCCCGTCATCACAGACCATCTGGGAAGCTTCAATCGTCATCCGTTAAATAAAAGGTATTTTTGGCCGCCGCTGGCCCACTGTGCGCCGGATTCGTGATCAGCGACCCCGATTTACCCTAAAATGAGTATCCACTTCTCTGTTAGATTTTGGCTGTCGGGCTGTGATTATCGATCTCGATATCCCGGTTACGTATTTTGAGCGTAATCATCCTCCCTACATTTTCGGGAGACCTTCGCCGATAAGACGGATAACCATCATTCCCAGTGACTGTCTCCGGATGTAGACTCCTTGGGTATCTCTTAGTACACACTCCGTCTTTCATGCATGGGGATTTACTGTTGATCGCACCGCAAGGACCGTGAATCATGTTCCTAGTTACTACTTCGGATAAAACAGGATTAAGATCACGGTCCGGAATTTCCGATGATATTACTCGATCTATCATATCTGGGGTGATTTTGTGAATCAACCAGATCAGGATATGCGCGTGAGGAAATCCTCTCTTCTTCCACTCAATCGAATACATCCAGCATCTCGTCTCCTCAAACACAAAATGCTTGATGATGAAATCCATTAAGGATTTCAATTTCTGCTGGAAAACACGCGCGAATATATCATGTCGATCCGCAGCCGTTTGTCCGGGCAGCAAATTTGCCTTGATTTCTTCCCAAGCAGGACTGCATGTGATCGTGATGAACAAATCAGGACGACCATACACGCGAACGTATGTCATCGCATCCTGTGCGTATTCATGCATATGGCGTGGACTTCCCGTGAAAGTCGGCGGAAGAATGACTCGACATCCGAGTTGATTGGGGTTCACACTCCCGTCAGAAACTATCGCATCACGAAGATGGACGTACTCTTCAGATCGTAACTTCCAGTTTGATTCAACCGAATGAACAGTAAGCGTTCGCTTTCAATCTTGGCATACATATAAACAACATATTGATGAAGTAATTACCTACATTTCAATATATGATTGTCCTCATTCTGACGAATCATCAATCGATATGAATAGTAATTCATAGCACTGACGTTCTTGTCAGACTCTTCACCCGTCACCGCGTTTCTCATATTAATGTTGAAGTGATATCCATCATCCCCTTGCCAAAATAGGATCGGGCACTGTAAAGCGTCGTAGGAACGATGTGTTTCAGAGACTCTTTGGAGGTCACCATTCCTGCGATGGAGAATTATGTCACGGGACCTTAATTCCTCTCCAGCTATCACGATTGCTACTTCATTGATTGTGGGAGCATTGTATCGCTTTTCGTGTTCCCCCGCCGGCGTCTTGTCCGCTCTTATAATAACAACATAATCATCAGCTGGCATGCGTTCCAGAGCGATCGTGAGCAGCTTCACCATCCTGTTGTACTGATGGAAAAGCTTTTGTAAAGAACCAACGATTTCCCTATCTGTACCAGTGTGGATGCTGCATCGTCAACCGACCTGTTCCTCGGCGTTTCCCATAAAATAGATTTGGAGGAACTGATGATCGGCATCCAGCAATGGCAAAAGTGACCCATGACGATGATACACCTGACCTTGGATTTTGAAGGTCGGCATGTGGCATCTAGCCGACCTCTCATCCTCAGTTTCACCGGAGCGCACTTGTGAAGAACGCAGTCGGTTTTGTTCTAGTCTCTCATACATCGTCCCGGCGATTCCCGAGACCGAGAAAGAGAGTGATGGATACGATCACTTTCCATCCTAGAGTTTCGCCGATCCTCAGTTTCATTCAGCCGTGCTATCGAATACCTCCGTCTGTCCTGTTCTAATCGCATCTGTTTTTGATGATCCGATTCAGAAGCTATTGATAATTAGCGTTTCGTAGCTCGTCGACTCAAGCGTCCCAGTGAGCTCCGTTTGGGAGGCATACTCTCGCACCGCGCGACCGACGACAACAAACTCGACTTCGTTATCGTCCCCTCAAAATGGGGATCGTTGCTATCATGATCGAGGATACTGAACATCGTTATCGTCGAAAATGTCCGCCAATATCACCAAAAAAGAGGAAATAATGACAATCGTTTCATCCTTATGAATCCCGATGTGCTAATATCCTTCCCCTATGCGACACGTCTTCGATCCCGATCGAATCAGACCTATCGAACGCGACGTACGCGAATGTATGCGACCATGACAGACATACGCACATTTGTTTTTATATGTTTTGTTTTTATTTTATTGTTTTCATATGTTTAGATTGCAATTATGGGGTTATGGTACGAGAAATAGCTTCAGAGAACGCTCCATCCCAATGAGGTTTCACAGCCAATCGCTGTACCCCTAACCAGATGGACATCTTCATTTTCCTCCTCAGCCATAACATGTTAAATCAAAAGAATGAGTACATTTTCGCCTACATCGAGCGACGAGCGACAGAAAGTTTGCCGACTTGGGGCACACAGCCAAGGTGTATTGTTTCGGATCGACTTCTTTCCATTGCACCCAAGAACGGATCGATACAATCGGATAGAAACCCGAGAAAATCGAGGCAGAAAACCTGCTCTTTCATGAAGAATATTCTACCGGCAACAGGGATCGAACCCACGCCACTCCTCGCACAAGCAGTCACGAAGAGAAACGCAAGTTTCCCACAGGCGCGCTAACCACTCGACCAATCGTCGGTTACAGCCATATCCGGCATTCCACCTCGCGAACAAGATGACGAATTCAGCCACGTGACTCGGAGCTGCAAATGTGCGGATATGATGCAGAATCCTCGAAAAGCACGAATTCTGGAAAAGCACCGTTCTCCTTCTTGGGTCGGTTAAGAACACAAGATGCCACACAATCAATCGTCGCGAACTCAAAATAAAGTGTTGGGAAGAAATGCAGAGGTTATTTCCAAATTCAGGCGCGCGCCAAGCGTTCGCCGACTTCCGTTCGCCAAGTTTCGTTCGCTAGGTTCGCTGAGCGCGGATTATCACGTAGGTCTACGTCAAAATCCGAATCCACCATAAGAGCTTATTTCCATCGACTGATTCCCGCCCCGAAAATGATTTGCACCTGAGCTTTCCGGAGGTTAGACGCCATATCAGATAAGTTCCCGGTTCCCGTGATCTCAAGGAACTTATCATCCTCCAGAGTCGGCCCTAGATGTTCCACTTGATTGTGTTGATAGAAGCGGTGTCTGCTCCTACGCGACGAAAATATGGAGAAGGCGCGTACATACGATGTTTTTTTGGGGGGCGGGCCAACTCGATTCTTGAGGAAGCCCGAGGTTACATGAGAACTCTGACTGCGTCGAGCTATTGAATCGCATCAGAGAAATATCATTCAGAGGAGGAGAATATTATCGCGGGATGTTGAAAAAAATCACACCGCAGGTCCAAGCTGCCTTGGAGTCCGTCCTTTCGATCCCCCCTGCGAAATCATGTCTTAACCCCGAGGAGTCTGTGAGAGCTCGGAATTCCTACCCCGGCTGACTCGCTCATCAGAAGAGATCACCTGCTAGCCCTTAAATCTGCCCTCTCCGAAAATCCTTCCCCCAAGAGAGAGACAGGTGGCGACTTCGAAGCTCGAGCTGAAGTACTCTTAAGGCGGTTCGAGAAATCATCTCGAATGCTACCCACGTTCCCGTGCAGTTGATCTTCTGGAGCAGGATAGTGACAATTGTGGGCTAGAGCCCATTGTTTGTGCACTCCGAAAGTAAGGAATAACGTTCCCAAGATTTGGAATTGTTCCCGTCAGTCGTAAAAGCTCAGAGAAGCGATATTCAGGTCGATTCCGTCCACATTCCGTCCAGAAGGAAGCCGCGGGCGACCCTCCGGTTGCTGAGAGGTCGAACTCCGGATTCCGACTCGTTTCGTTCTCCGATTGCTATCCAACCGTCGGGTCTCCATTGGTTGCCATACAGCATGTTGAGAATACTTTCTGGGTCGGTGAGGAGGAGCACAGTGGAATTTCTGGCCGTGAGAGCTTTATCGACTCGCCTTGACGACGCTTCTAAGCGACTGAAGACACTGCAGGAAGAGCCCGAGAACGATGTGAAACTCAGGATTTACGCTCTGTATAAACAGGCGACTGTGGGAGACGTCAACATTCCGAAACCGGGCTCTTTCGATTTCGTTGGAAAAGTCAAGTGGGTCGCGTGGAAGAAAATCGAGGGGACGCCCAAGGAGAAAGCAGAAGACGTGTACGTGGAGCTCGTCGAGTCGCTTCTCAGCAGTGAAGAGAAGTCGGGCGCAACATCA